GCCCGCAGCGAATTCGAGGAACAGTTGTGTTTGACGAACAAACAAATTAGTTCACCGATGCAAATTTAATGAAACGCTTCTTCGAGTTAGGATGAACCAACCGAAGAGCTGTTGCTGTTATTAATTTCGTTAGCGTCGAGGAAACGACAAACGGGACTGTTTGGTTTCTGTCGATCAAATTAATCTTTGCTTACATTGGCTAACGAGGTTGTCGAACCTGAAATTCGATAACAATTATTCGAAACTGAAGAAAGGGTTAAGTAGCGTGAAGCCTTGTAGTACAAGGAATTAACCTTCCTGCGAACCGGTGGACAATTCATCCGTCGTAATAACATTACGCGGGCTTCGTGTACACTAAGAATAAGAACAAACAGCGATGCACAGGTGAATAAACGTGGATTTTCCATCCAATTTGCCAGCCAAGAGAACGAATAAAGAGGAAACTGTGAACCGAATGGACGACGATGCGCTGAGCAAACGGAAACACCGGAAGTGCTTCGCGATGACCGACGGCGAATCGTCGAGGCTGTCTCGTCGTGCTGGATGAAATTTAAATAATCGACAATTAAGAGCGAGCAGAGCGTGAATTTCCTCGTAGGTAACGCTCGATCGCGCTGACGTCGAGAAACAGCAGCCTCGAAATCGAACTTGTCAAGTGCTGTCTCTTGGACGAAATCTCTCGCGATAGTTCGTTGACGCGGGAATAATCACGCTCGGATGCTAAATTCGTTGGCCTGATTACGTTGATTTTGCAAATTTTTAATAATTCGCGTGTTCCGCGTTCCCGAGGATGAGATTGTCGCCTGTCGTTGCATTTATTCTGCGTTAAACAATATTGATTTTATTACGCGGTGACATGAACTATTTTTATACATTGTATATTATATATATTTATAATATCCAGTTGGATATAGAACTTGCATGCTATAAATATATGGAAATAGAAGGAAAGCACCGGGAATGTTGGTAGAAAAATATAGCTGAAAATATGAAACCAGAAGTAAAAGTAGGAGGGCAAGAAAAGAGTTTTAATTCGAATAAGAAACATAGCATCGTTCGTAGAAAGAGGAGAATAAAAAAAGAGATGCCAGAATATATTCATACAGTGGATATGCAAATTTGAAAACGCGCTTGAACGTTCTACCACGTTGAAGATCCACTTCGCGTTGCCCTACAATTCGAAAGTGGAACAGCATCGAGGATGGACCGACCGCGGGAATATCGCGGTGTCCAATGACGAAATTTACGAGCAGAAACGTTGAAAACGAGCAGATTCACGAAATTTACGCGAGCGATCTCGTCGAGCACGGTAAATCGTCGAAATTGCAAACGGAGAAAACAACCAGCCTGGAAGAGTTTATTTTACGCCGAATTCGTGCGATTTCCATCTACAATTCCATCCAATTCATTCGATCTTTTCCCTTATCGATCAATAAATTTTCCCGGCCATACATCGATCGTATCTTCGATGATGAATTCGGCGAACGAATTGCAATCTTTCCAAGATCGTATCAATTTTTTATCTCTACAGAGAAATTCAATAACAGAAATACGAAAGAAATATTAAACCATATGTGTACGTAAAAATAAAGGAGAAATGGACAGAATGGAATGAATTAAATGGTCTTTCCTCGAGAAAAACTACCCCACCATTTTCATAGGATTTGTGTCCTGTTATTTGTATAATTTATGGTCCATCGAGGGGACAGAGAAAAAGAGGACGATTTAATTAATGGCTGACTCGTTCTAGTGGAAAAAGAAACTGGTAACGATGGAGGGATAAAAAATACCGCAAGTAAATAAGACTTACGTTGTTTACTGAACAATGAAAGTAAAATGTTTTGCGTTATCGTGGTTGTATACTAAGCAGCTACCAAGAAACCTCTGTCCATTTCGCAGGAAAGAAGTTGAAAACAATTTTCTTTTGTTTCGGAGATTAATTGCGACAGAATAAAATTTCTTTCTGTTGGAAGAAACTTTTGAATTGTAGAAACAAACGATTTTAAATTAACAGAAGTACAATTGATGACTTTCTATGTTTCGAAATTTGTTACTTAGTATGCAACAATTTAATGAATGATCGTTGCGTTGCCATTCACGTTCACGCAGGGGGTCAAAACTGCACGAATGTACCTATACTCGGTTCTTTCTTGCACGTATTGATACGATACAATCGCATCCTGGTTTCCGAACACGTAATATGTTAATGCGAATTCAGGAGGTAGCGGAACAAGCGACCCGAAATATTTTTCGGGACACGACGACGGGAATACGAAAGTTGCCGAAGAAACATGAACTTCCTTCTTCTTTTGTAGTTTTTGAAACTTCCTAGATATTTTACCATCGAAACTTCTGATTTGTGGTTTGATACCGGAGATGTTTTTTGACGTTTTAGAGAAAGAAGTATCATTTTGACATTTTACAAAATTTGTGTTCGCAGTAAATTTGGATTCTTTGGAAGTAGAGATTTTCCAATTTTCAGAGATATTAAGACCACTGTGAGATTTAGGATGATGCTGCTCAGTTTGGAAGTTCATTTTCTGGGTTAGCCACCGAACTTTGGCTACTTTCATGGAGATGTCTGACTTTCGGTAGAGTTGTACTACTTTCAATATTAGGAGGAGCGCAAAGAAACTGCGAAGGCAAGATTTCTGTCTTCAGCGACTGCAAGGGAATACTTTTTCAGTCGAATACTTTAGCGACTGTGGCTGTGTTGTTAATTTAAACATTTTTATAAAAAAGAAATACTGGTGATTTTTCAATGCTTTTAGAAATGTTTTTCACACTGTTACTAAAAGGACATCTCTTTCTTTGTATACAATCCTTTTGTATTCAACTGAATACTACACTATCATTAAAAGTATTATTCCCGTTAGTGTGTCACTTTTTGCTTCATCACCAGAACATCCGGTTCACATTCTTCACTTCTCAAGAAAGGGAAGGAGATGCTTGTCGACGAAGTCTGGCCAATTCTCCTCCCAAAAGAATATCCACAAGAACCAGGACACTGGAGATAAGAAAAGCGGGCCAATTGCTTCAGACTCGAGCTGAATTTGAAAATATCCACTCGATTTCGTTCGAAGGACGATTCGAAGGGTCCTTCAGATTTTCAAAGTCTGCTGATTTTCAAGACATTACAGTAGAAGGGTCCACATATTCCTCGAATTGAAATTGTTGCTCCAGTTTTATTTAGTTACCACTGCAAACTCTTTGTTCAAAGAAAATTCGAATTTTCCTAATTTTGGTATCATGGATTATTAGAAAATTAAAAGACCCAACGAGACTGATATCTCTGTTAATTTAGTTCACCATATCATCAAAAGTATCTGAAAACGCTGTAGCAACAAATTTTCAAAGAAAATTCAAATTTCCCTAATTCTGATAGTAATCATTCCAATGTTGCACTTAAGTTGCATACCCACGCAAAGAACAAGAGCATTGGACTCGAGAACGTTTCTGAAAATTAAATTGCTGTCCTACATTCGAACGTAATCCCGAAGGTTCCTCGTGGACACGAGTTGTCATCCCTTTTTACGAGAGGCAAAATTTTCCACAAGCTAGATTAATACGTTATTACATCGGCGATGTACAAGAGGATTATTTATTAAATTATTTACACAGATCGCGCCGTATGCACTTTCGAAGTGCACTTTTATAGAATGCAACTTTATGGCAGCTGAAAATTTATCTAAGGAGACCACCTGGACTCTTACCATGTTTCCAAGCTGAAATACTTATGGTGCTCTAATATTCTACTTTTTATGGTAAGAGAACCAGCCCATTTCGCGCTGAATACCTTTGATATTATGAATGCAGCATCTTTTGTTTGAACTGCATTGGTACTCTTGCACTTGGAAGAAGCATCACGCTTCGGGCTATGGTGGAATGTTTACGGCGGTAATGGAACACGTTCGAGATACTGGAGTATTTTTGAACTATTTATGATCTTGTGTTTTATTTACTTTTTAATACTAAATTCTGAAGCTTTATTCAAACGTCGTGGCAATAATTTTAATTCTACGAAGAGAATACTTCTTCTACTTCAATGATACTTTTAAGACCATCTTTTCTCTTATTATCCTAGTACTTTATAGCTGAGAATAAAACATCTTCTTTTATATTGTAATATCCTCGACGAATTATGATCGAATCTGTTTCATCTGTTACAGTGTTCACACTGTGGCAAAAGCACATATCTCATTTCTTATTACTTCAATATTGAACCTACCATTATAAAACTTGTAACAATGTGTCTTTACCTTTTCTACGTGTTTCGATCTTGGAAAACAAATGTATATTACCTTTAAAAGCAGGAATTTTACAAATTCATAGAAATTTAGAGTGAGCAATCTGAGACCGTTTGAAAGGAGCCAGCAAATTGACGGAATCTGAAATCAAGTCGCAGAAACGCGATATCAGCCAGGGAGCCCTAGTTTCAACCTTATATCGTCCACATAAAAAACCACCCTCTCTGCTTCGAGTTCCGGAAAATTACCCGGAGGGCTCGAACGAGAATTTAATGTGTTCCCTGCACAAGGAAAGAGCTGCCTCAGCTTACGATTTCGCTTCGGTCCGAATATCTTTCGACGACCTTTAAACTGAAATCCAACCCTGCCGGACGAACTTTGCCCTTTAATTGTCGCTTTTCCCAGGCTACGTTTCACGTTCTGCTGATCAAAGTACATTACCGGTCCCTCGCAAATATTTTTCGGATATTGAAATGATCATTTTTGATGGACCTTTGTGGATGACGAGGAAGACTTTTTGATGGACTTAAGGTAGCTCTGATAGGGTTACTTACTTTGAGGGCCGAATGAAAATTGATGGAGGAAATTTTTCCTGAATATTAATGGTTTAAACATTTGAAATATGGCTCTTTTATACATTATGTTCCAGGAATTAATCGAACAACTATAAAAATTTAGAATTACTAAGAAGTTATTTGATCAACTCCTGGAACAACCTGTGAAATTACTCAAAGACAAGGAATACAATCATACCGGCTTCCATACGGGCTGGCGAGCCATCAGGCACGGTTTTTCCCTGAGACTTTGGCGTGCCTTCGCTCATGGTTTCGACACGTCTTCGATCTTTTGATACCGAGTTACCCTAGGCTCCCTCTTTCAGCCGCTTCCTGGAGCTTAGCGAATTCTCGCCGGTTCTTCCTCTCTTCTAATATCCTCTTTCCACCTCTGATCACTTCCTCGATCGAGTTCAATGTTTCTATCAATGTTTGGCACTTGGAACCGTGTTCAGTGTTCCTCGACGAAGCTTAAAAATTTCGTTCTCACTTTGAACCCGCAACGAACACCTTCACTGTAACTGGCGAACTTAATTTTCGATTCGAAACTGTTCCCACCTTGGTCCAGTTTGATCGGGTAACATTCTGTGCGGCGATGGGAGTAGGAAGCACGCGAGGGTGAGAAGGATCGAGGCGAAAAGAAGCCGGGAGGAACGACAGGAACACGCGGCAGACCCGGACGACTCTGGCGGAGGGTGTGTAGCCTCAACGCTTCAGCCTGTTCTTCCGCATCCCTCCTACCCCGGCGGCGAGGCGGTCGACCGATACGCGAGCCTCTCTGGTCGCGGTGTCACAAGGTCACGGGGATCAGAGAGAGGATCGGTGCTGCTCCAGATAGAAGGAGGCACGCACGCAAGCCAGCCGCCGGCTCTTCTCGTTCGCGCCGCGACGTGCCGCGTCGCGTCGCGCCGCGTCTCGTCCTGCTCGCGTTCGCGCACGCTCCCCTAATTAACGACGGAACGACGATCCCCGGAAGTCCGCGTCCGTTCGGGAGGATCGATCGTTCCGATTGCCACGAAGGCGCATCGACAGGTGCACCAGAGATACGCTCAACCAACGAGCTTCTACCTACTCGATCAGTATACTCGTCGAACGATCAACTTTATCGAATTCACCGTGTGCAAAAAAACTCGCCGAGCTTCCAATATGTCGAATTACAACGAAACAAATATCCTGCCCGATGGACAAGAGGATCTGGCTCGCGGTTACAGGTCACCACCCCTGGACGCTCGTCTTCCCCGTGGCTCGGATGCTGCGGAGTGTTGGAACACCTCTGCCACCCTCTACTGGTCGCTTCCCTTTCTCTCTCTCTCTCTCTCTCTCCCTCTTTTCCCTCCGCCGCTGCTCCTCCCTGTCTCTCCCTGTATGGGTGGTTTGCTATCTACGTGCGTCTGTCTGCGCTGACGGTCGCGGTTGCTTATCTATCGGGCGTGGATCGCGAGCGACTCGCTGGTGGACAGGCGAGCGACGAGGACGAGGACGAGGAGAGCTTTCCCTCGCCGGAAAACGGGGAAACGTCGACTGAGAGACGCTGCTCCGGCGACGAGGACGTAGGCCGAGAGGGGTTACGAACGAACACTCCCGGCTTTTCCAGGCCTTCTCTCTTTCCTTCCCTCCTCGGAGGCGCGCACGCTCTATCCGCACCTTCCCCTCCTCGCCCCTCTTTACATCCTCCCTCTCTCACTCTCCGTGTTTCTCCCTCTCGTCCAGCTTTCGATCTTCTCCTTTTATCTCACCCTCGTCTTGCCTCCAACTTCGCCAGTCACCCTCCCAACCCTTATTCCCTTCGTACCCCTCGCCACTCCTCGCCGGCCTGTACCCCGTGTCCGCTTATCCTGGCTGCTGGTTAGTTCGGTTGCACTCGCGCGAACCAGCCGCGACGAGTCCCGGGCGTTCTCAGCAGCTCTCGCCACCGCTTTTCCACCCACGTAGCGCGCAAGCGCGCCCTGCACCCCCGGGGATGCCACCCCTTTCTCCTGCTGCCGGATTCTCTCACTGTCTTCCTTCTTGCTCTGTCTTTCTCTGCGGCTTCCTTGTGTGCGTTCTATCCTGTTCAGCTGGACAGAAATGATACATAAAGAGAGGAAGATGACGAGAGTATCCCTCTTCTTTTTCTCCCAGCTTTTCTACTCCTGCCTCTTTTTGCTGCTCTGATCTCCGTGTGTTCCTTTGTCTTTATTTCCGTTTCTTCTTCGTAGTCTTCCTTTTTGGATTTTACTACCTGCTGTTGGAGATTTTCATCCGGTAGTGTGGGAACGGTGATCATATTTTACCTTTATTTCATACCAGGTATACGTATTTCCAATTTTTATTTATTTTCATTTCTTTCATCGCGTAAACATCCAATTAATCGTTTGTAAATATTCTCTTTCTTCAATTGCACCTTGACATTTACCATATTTTTTTCTGTTTACCGATTCTCTATCAAACTTGTTTTATAAACTCTTCTGTTTATATTCTTTTTTCTATCGGTTTTCGCAACACCTACACATTTGCTTGATGCATGTGTATCTTGTTTATTGACGTACTCCTTTGACTTTTATTTTATTTATCACTCTCACGTAGGACTTCCGTTTCGTACGCGTAGGACTTTGCTGTTTGTTTCCTCTCGGTATTTTATCGCTTCGACACGTAGCCTCAACTATATCTTCTCCCTTTTTCGATCGACGCATTTTGTGTGCCACCCTTTTGAACCCTCTTCAATATTATTTTACTTTTATAACACACCTCATGTTTTTTCTACCTCTTCTTTTGTCGGTATTTTTATTTTCTTCGATTTTTACTTTCTTTCTCCTTTATTTTTAGAGGGTACGTACATTTCTCCGTACCTTTTTGCAACGACTTTAATAACGTACACATCTCTTTTCCTTCGTTTTCCGTTGCTCTCCTTCGTCTGTTTTGTCTTCCACGGACAGACTTAACACGTTCCGTCGCCGCGATATTCGTGTACCTTTTCCCTTGTTCTCCATTTCAATTCACGTAAATCGTCTCGTTGCCTGAAATATTGCTCTCCAATTTCCCCGAACATTCCCAACCACTGATCAATTTTAAACCATCAAAATATTTCCTCGCGGTCCGCTCGTTTTCATTCTTGCCAAAACAAACGGAAGAGAATTGCTGGCGAAATTTTCATGAAAACACAAAACAGTAACCCGGTCTCCCGTTACCAACGTTCAAATTACTGCACGTTTCCGTTTGTCGTTTCGCGTTGAGTCCAATTTTTCCACGTTTTTTCTCTTTCTCTCTTTCTCTCTGTTTTCCTTTTCATTTTCCTCGTCTGGCCAGTTTTATCGACGTCGCTGATGAATTTGCCGATTGTCACGAGAACTTGTTCGCCGACATGTCGTCGTTTATCCAAAGAACGATAACGAGAGAAGGAAAAGAAAATTAAAATGACGAAGATTCTAGATGAAGTGACGCACGATTTTCTTTCCCAGATTTCTGTTTCTTTGGGATCATTTGAGATCGTCAAGTTATTGTGAAAATTAAGTAAATTTGAATTTTAAAAAAGAAGTAATGGTATAGGTACGTGTTACTATCCTTAAAATGATTAAACGTCCAGTTTAAACGACAGGGCTTCGATGCGAAGGGAAAAAACTCGCGCTTTATTTCCTCCATAAAGCGCGATATTTATATCCGCGCGCGTACGCGCGCCCTAAAGCCCAGGCTGAAAGCTTTAAGCTCGGCCTGAAATGTCGCTAGATCGAACGCTTGCTCTCGTTTCTCTGCCACCAAGAATTCGTCAACTCTTAGTAATTTCACTTTTCCACCCTGTTGTATTGTTCTTCGTCTGGTTTGATCGTAGGAAATGCAATAAATCTTTGGTTAGATTAATTATCCGATAATTATTCTTAAGGGTGATTTAAATACTATTTCGTGAGGCAGAGTTTCAATCGGGTTTATCTTGGATTTCCTACTATTTGCTTTGACAGGGGAATTTCAAAGAATTTATAATGCTTAAGAACACGCTATGAGGCAAATAACAAACATGGAAATGTTTGAAAATAAAACAGAGAAAGAGCTGAGTTAGATTTATGGTAGATTTAAATCTAGCTGAGTCTGCTTGTAAAGAAAGCAGGAAAATCTCTGTTGACTTAAGATTTAATTCATCTTTCTTTCTGTTTACTTGTGAAGATATAAAGCGGAGTGAATTGAACTTGAGATGGACTCATCTTCGTTAAGTTGCTTTTTATTGACTGATAAAACAAGCATCGCGCTCGTCTTTCTTTTGGCCCCGAGAAAAGTCAGTGTTCATTTCTGTGGAAGAAGAAACAGGACCAGCTAGCCATCCGCATCACATCCCAATTAGATTTTCGTTACGCTCGTTCTCGTTTACACGTAAAAACACGCCGAAAATCTGGCCAAGACCCAACTGGAGTCGACTAAAATTCATTTTCATTCGCTACCTTCATTTAACCAACCCTTAAGATGTGTAAAACGCATAGAAGGTAATCTTAATTTCTCATTTTTTATAATCCATTTACAGTTTAGCCCATTAGCATAAAAATATTAGTTTAGAAATTAACTAGGTACATTGCAAGTAATTTGTTACCTTCGTATCGTGTCTTGATAATGAATAACATAAATGAAAATGTTTTCTTTAAATCAAACGATTATGTTCGCCGAGCTTGAAAACATTCAATGATTGTTTTCTGGTAAAACATTTTGGAATAAGCTGGGATAATTGGATTCTAAAAAATGATACTTCGTCGCGGGGTAATCTGCTCCCCTTGAAACGCTGCCAGCACGATCGTATCGAGCTAACAGGCAATAACGATGCCACGTTGATGGTAAACGACGCCCGGCAAAGGATACTAAACTCTCGTTCATCGACTTCGTTCCACGCAATCATTTCCCTGCTCGTTGAATCGCGAACTTGCGGAAACGCTCAGTCAATGTTCGCTTTACAGTCAGTCAACTTTGCACGGCCACCACTTGGTTCGTCAGAAACTTTTGGTCTAACCTTTCTGTTTGAACGAAGGAAAAATCAATTACTGCGAAAATTCTACATAGAACCGAACGGAGTATCGTTACACCGTTCATTTAAATCCTAAATGAAGCTTTAATTATGGTAGGATACGGAATGGAAAACACGATTAAATGAATTCGATCACGTTTGGCAGAGAATCAAGCGACGCTAGTCTCGTGAATACGATTCCTAGCTGCGACGATTTATCCGAACAGATCTGTATAACGTAAATCCATGTAAATACGATGCGTTCCGCTCGAATCGAATCGGCGAAGGCCAATAATTAATTCAGCTTCGCAATGTGGATCTCGTGGCAGCTGGTGACCGTTTAATCTGTAACGCAATCTCGTCGGTTTGCTTTCCATGCGAGAGATTACTCTTTTTTCCCAGACTATTCTATGCGGAATGAAAACTAGTCTGAAAAACCAATCCATGCTATTGCACTGTATCACGTACGATAGTAAACTATTTCCGCTGGATTTGAAAATTAAAAAATGTGTACGTTCAGTAGAGCAAGATTTTAAGTAGAATAGGACTATAGAGGGTCGGACAGAACGTCGTCAGTAGAACAGATCCATGGATGGTCAGACAGAGTCTGTTCTCTATATAAAAAATTTGGAAATTACTAATAAAATGATATATACAACGGATTGAAATTCATACATGGTAGAATACATTACGGAAGGTGGTACATCGGATACAAGACATAGCGTATCCGCTAGAAAAGGAGAAGCAACGGTAATTAAGGTTGCATCGCGCGGTGCATAACGGTGCATTCAAATGGGCCAGGCAAATCCCTTGGAAAATTGCTAATAAATGGAGAAGCGACGTCGCTGTGAAGCGGGTTCTAGCACGTAAACGATCTAACATCAGCCGACTTTGCGATACCGGTCTTCCTTCCTAACCGATTCGCGCTGATTAACTTCGTCAAGTTACCGTCCCGGCGGATTTTCAACTTCGAACGCGATCAAACGCGACGATTACATATAGTTTAATCATTCTCAACCTCTGTCTTCTTGCTGTTAAAAATTTTTCGAGCAACAACGAAACAACAGAGTGCTCGAGTAACCGGTCCGCGATGCGGTTAATTGCATTTGAGCTGTTAATAGCGAAAGGTGAAGTTTACAGCGACGAGGTTAATAGTGCCATGGCTTTCACAAAGGAACACCCTTGCGATCAGGTAACCAGCGATGTTCCTCTCTCGTGTAGCAATTACATTCAATTACAGGATCACTCGACCGTAATTAGAACGCGTCGTGCTCCTCTGTTTTTGTTCGTTGCCGCGTTCGTCTCGTAAATTCGTGAACCGAGCCCGGCCATTTTTGATAACCGAGTTACATTTTCCGCGAAAGCAAAACTGTGCTCGTTCGGCTTCTGTTTTCATTTTTTATTCTTTTTTTTTTTTTTAGATAGGCGTTGAAACAGGGGGAGAAAAAGGTCAAACGCGCAGGGCTATTGAACGTTAATGAATTGGTATCGCACAACCCGAGGCTCGTTTTCCAAGCGACACGTTCGCTTTTAATTTTAATCACGCGATGCTGGATTCCTTTTTTTTTCATTCCACGACGTCCTTTTTTGTTTCTCTTCATTGTCAGAGCTGAATTCGTTTGGATACGGAGGGAAAAGTGTG